ACCTCGAATGTCGTTTGTGGTGGATGTCAGTATTGCTTGCAACGGTCCATGTGTTAATTGCCAATAACCATTGAGATTCGCCACTTTGTGCCCTTTGATTTGTCCCTAAAGCATTTTGTTAGGTTGAGATATTATCTTGTTTGAAATGGTCTGCTTGGGGACAAGCAAACGTCTAATTGTGGGGGAGTGATTCGGGCCTAAATGTACACCTTATATCCCCTTTTCTCTTTGACGTTTGTGGCAATTGATCTCCAAAAAAGGTGGTTTTACGCTAGGTTCCTTGTGTTTCAATGTGTTTTAGAGTCTAACAGGTGAAACCAACCCTGGAGTCGAAAGTTTGAAGAAAAAGAGCAAAGACCCTTCAAAGAGAAGTTTTCAGCTGTAGTTCACGGTCAAAGCTTGGAGTTCATGTTCGACAGGACCGTGAAGTGGAACCACAAACCATGAACCGCGAAACGTCCAGAGCGGTTTCAGAGGTTACTGACACCGAGGCAGTTCCCGGTCGTAAGACCGTGAACTGGAGCCATGGATCTTGAACCATAGAAGTGAAGCGACGCGTTTTGATTAGAGTTCACGAACGCGGCCTGATTTTCACGGTCGAACTGGGGCCGTGAACTGGGAGTGATCTGAGTATAAATCGAGATCTGAAAGGAAGAAGAAAGGGTATCCCAAAGTGACAGAAACTTCTTTTTCTTGAAACCCTAGAGAGAGAAAGCACGAACCAAGAGGGAGAAGAGGCTAGGGTTTGCTCCAAGTGAAGATTTTGGAAGATCCTCTTCGTTGGAGGATCTCTACGAGCACAAGGAGAGTTGGAGCCATCATAATTATGGTTTCTTTCTTCATCGTTTGTGTTCTTCCTTTGTCTGGCATGGAGTAGTTTCCCTTTTCACTTGGGTGTTGTAGAACCCTAACTACTATCATGTAATTGATTGTGTGTATTGAGTGATTGTGTGATGGTGGTGTTTAAAATTAAGAATTGAGGTATTTTTATGGTGATTGTGCATTGTGTGTGCTTGGCAATCTATTGTGCTATTCTAACCTAGCTTAGAGAGAAGCCCACTTATCTTATGAGGCTCAAAATTGAGTTGGGTTTTCTTAGGCATTCCATGCCTCCTAACTAGGTTAATGAAGGACAAACCTCTAACTTTAATTAGACACCTAGGTTAATTATGATTATTCCGCCCAGGCCTTGGTTTGAGAGAGAAGGTAAGCCAACCCTCACTTGCTTGTGCCAAGATGGCTACAATTGTAGACTCTAATGGTTTCCTTGTCCTAGTAATTGGGAGGAAGGTTTCTAACCATTATTGCACCTCCTACGGGTCACAATTGCCTTGTCACACATCATTTCATTCGATCCCACAGTTCATGGTAGTTAGTTAGGGGGAAGCAACACCCGAGTGAAGCTTCTCACCAAGAATTTTCCACCCTTTTACTTTTCAAGTCTTGCTTTTAAATAGTAGATTGTAGAGATTTCAACAAACAACATTCCGCTAGATAATGTTTCAAACAATCGAAGTAGGGGTACATGGGCCGGGCCGGGTTGATATTTAAACATACTTGCCCTATATTGCACCCACCTAAGGTTTATACTTGGGCCTTAGGTGGGATTTTATTGTGATAGTCGGAGCAAGTCAGATCGTATGAGAACTTAATAGGAAGGTTGAGCCAATTTAAAAGAAGCAGACTTGTTTCGGCGGAAAAGGCAATGACGAGGATCTTCTCATATATTTTTCCTATTGAAAAATATTTGAAAAGAAAATAAAAACCAAATTAGGACTCGATCAATCCCGTTCCTGTTTAATTAATCCGTAAAACAATTGTCCTAATGTTGTAAGTACGTAAGGCAAGAATAGAAAACATTATAAACTAATTAATTTATTAACGAATATATTTGTACCAAACCATTGGTATTAATTATTTTATTGGAGTTCACTTATTCTTAGTTTTAAATTATGCTTAGTAGACGATGTCGGAATACAACTTTGAGTTGAACTATCTAGGCACAACATGAAAAACAAGAGCAAATCCCTTGAGCTATATCCCTTTCTCATGAATATTTTTGAGTTACGAATTAATTAACAATTAAAATGATGATTCTGGTACATTAATCTTAAAAATTATCATTTTCAAAGTTATGTGTTTTTGTGTTATTGATATTATTATATGTTAGTTCTATATGGTACTTAAATTATACGATTTTATGATTCGATTTTACTATTTCGATTTTAATTCAGTTTTTTATTTTAGATAAAATCCCGATTTTGACGGTATTGGGTGTGATAACTTTCTTAATAAGAAATTATATAACTTAAGATCCGTTCAAGAAAAAGTGTTTTGAATCACTTATAAAACTTTGTTGAAACTACCGAATGGACTTAATAGACAATGAGGTCTCATATCCCATAATTGAACTCTATGCTAAAAACAAAATATTTATTTATTTGAAAAAGAAACTGACAAATATTGTTAATTGATAAGATTCTAAAACATAAATGCATTTTCGGAATGTGCGTGATCAAAATACGCATAATTAGTCGACCTTGAGTTGAATAATCGAAAAACTCACAAACAATCTATAAGAATTAATTTGTATAAGATTCTACAAATGAAATGCATCTTAAGATAAGAGTAATCGAAATATGGCTCAGAATAGGGTGCATAACCAAGGGTTATGCATACTTCCATAACTAAATCTAGACCATTTAATTTAAGTGAGTCCAGAAAATTCAGATCTAAGGGTTGAGAACTAAAGGTTTTTTATTTTTCCTCGTTTTCTTAATCAGCTCTTATCTTCTTCGTTCTATAACTTGTGCTCTACAAAATAAGATCAATTTTTAATATTTTTTTAGAAAAACTTTCATACCTCTCGTTACCAACTACATACCATATGGTATCTCCTTCGTTTTTAAGTATTTTTTGAAAATATTTGCACATAAGGAACGGGTTCGTCATGGTTTATTGGATCTACAAATTTTTTAGGGGAAAATACATTACCAAAAAAATATTACACCATACCACCTTGGTATATATGGGGGTGGTATCTTGTGGTACATAATGTTGAAAGTCATAAATAACAGTTAGTATACTCCTATTATCATGTATTCAACCATCCTAGAGTATGATATGTTCATACCACCATGCTACGCTTTCATATCATATGTTATGCTCTTATTTAATACCATTCAATATCACCACGGTATAGACCGGTAAAAAATGTCTCAATTTTTTGTAACAAAAATATATCAAAGTGGATATCATTTTAAAAAATACAATTAATCTAATTTATCTATGAATTTATTTTAATTCTTACTTAAAACGAGAGAGAAATTGTCCGTTAAAAATAAAAGAGGAAAATATTAAAAGCCTTCCATAAGTGACACGAGGGTACTGAGGTGGCGACTGATGGTTGGATTATGCATGGTTATTGACAGGATTCGTTCCCTCGAATTAGGCATGATTAGTCGACCTTGAGTAAAATAGATTGAAATCTCGCAAAGATCGTTAATCTATTACAATTTGAAAAATAAAAAAATGCATCACAATAATACACGTGATTGAAATATGCATGATTAGTCGACCTCTAGTTGATCAAAATACGCTTGATTAGTTGACCTTGAGTTGAATAGTCGGAAAACTAACAAAGATTATTAATCTACAAGAATTCAAAAATAAAAATGTATCGGCATAATACACGTTATTTAAATATGCGTGGTTTGTGAGCATGTATGGTCATAATACACGTTGTTTAAAAATTCACAAAGATCAGTAAATCTTTAGTTGAGTAGTCGAAAAAGTAACAAGAATTGTTATTTGGTAAAAATTTAAAAGTGGAAAACACATCACGTGGTCTGTGGGCATCTGTGAATTCTTTATTCTCCGGTACGTGGTGAAAATTATTCAAAATTATTCAACGTGAAGAAATTGTCAACAATGAAAATGTGGAGTTTCATTCAACCAAATGAAATTGCCACTAAAGTTCATGATAATTACAAAACAATTGGAAATGTGGAGTTTCTTTGGACCAAATAAAATTGCCAAAGTTCATGAAATTACAAGATGCACACGAAATGAATAGTAAAAGCTTTTATATATCATTATTGGATATGTGAGAGGCTAGTGAAGACCAGGGATCGAATTGAAGGGTTTATCACTTGTTGGGATAGTCTGATTGTATGAAGCAACAAAAGGATGATTAAGTGTTCTGTTAGAACTGTTTGATTGGATCTGCAGGGGAATAGACCTAAAGTGCCATGGTACAGTCTCACATGGTCTAGATACTCTATTCCTAGAAATAGTTTCATCAGCTGGCTAGTGATCAAGTACAGGATAACAACCAAGGAAAGGGTGGTGCAGTGGGGAAGATAACCAATGATGCTTGTGCGCTGTGTGGATCAATGCAGGAGACACGTTCCTATTTATTCTTTTCTTGTAGCTACTCTACAGTTGTTTTGAGTGATTGTATATATGATGATAAATCAAACGTGTAATGTTTATACGGATTTTGATGGGTATCTCAATTGGGCCATAAGGAAGTTTACAGGTAGAAATCCTGAGGCTAAGATTGGTCAGCTAATAAGGAATTTGGTGATCAGCTTAGTTTGGAGAGAAAGATTTAGTCTGTTGCATGGTGAGCAGGGGATTCAGCCTGCTGGTGTTGTCAACAGAGTCGAAAGATGATTGGAGTTGGCAAGGACAGGAAATGTTGAACTGCAACAAGTTTGCAGTAGGGTGCTTTGTCACAGTAGTCAGAAATAGTACTTTGTTTTGTGGTGTAGGCAGATTGCTTTTTCAGTTTTATCAGTATTACAATTTGGTTTAGTCGCTGCTGGTCAGCAAGGTTGTAAATCTCCATTTGTGGGGCTCAATTGAGCTCCATCATGTGCTTAAAATATTTTTTTTATTGCCCATAAAAAAATGGAGCTTAACAGGCAACAGAGTGCAATGACAGCCTAAATCTTTTTAACTTTCCTGCACAGAGCCCAACTCCTAAACGAATGCGCCTTCATTCTATTCTAGAAGAGAGGCCGTAAGGTCCAAAATGAAAATCATGAAGCCAACAAGAGAGAGAAGATAACAAAGTAGCATCAGACTACAGATAACCAAAGAAGAAAACAACAGGGAGCAGGGGAGCTACGGCGAGAAGAACCAAGGACTTTTTTCCAGCTCGACTGTCTAGCTGGCGATTCGAGGCCTGCCAAGACCATCTAATCTAATTGTTGTTCAAGAAAGATCCGAGCTCAACTCAAGAGATACCAAAAGCAAGATAATCCTCGTGACTTTCTCATGTCCCACACACCAGGAGCCCCCAAAAAATGACCATGGCAGGCTTTCTCATGTCTCATTTCATCCACTGAAAGCAACACCAAAAACAGTTATTGACTGCACACCCTCTTCCAGCACCCTGAAAAAAACCGACAGGGCAAGTTTCTGGAAATCGATTTCCTTCAGTCGGTTGCCAGGTCCTGAACAACATACAGAGACTAAACAAGAGAAACCAGGAAAGAACGACTAAGATTTGTCAAACAGTAAGGTACACCCATTATCCCTCTTACTAACCACAGTCGAGAAAAAAAAAAAAAAAAAGTCTTACAACTTTCTTTGTAATCCTAGAGGACCCAGAAAAGGGAAATGAACAAAAACCAATATGGAATACCAGTAAACCAGTTTTGGGGGAGAAAGAAAGATCATCTACAACTTCATGTTCATTTGAAGCTACTGTAGTAAAAAAAAAAGTCTCAAAGCATGACAAAAGAATCAATTAAAAAATGCACTGCAAGTTCCAACAGCTCCACCTTCATTTCCTTCCCACCAACCCAAAAAAGGAAAACGAAACAGAAAAAAAAGCTACATACTTCTTTTAACTTACACCTAGTGGCAAATACTGGACAATCCTTTTTAAAGTTTCTGGCTTTCCACTGGTTCTTCCTCTCGCCACTGTTTTTTTCCATTTGTAGGACGAGCTACCACTACAATCAATCACATTTTTCCTTTGCTACTGATACTTCACACCAACCCAACACATTCTCTTCAGAATAACAATATCTTCGTCATCTTCTAGCTTCTAGAAGATAAGAAGTGGCAAAAAAGGGAGGTGAAAAGGGAAAGAATTCTTTGTCGGGGGAAACTTGCAGAGAGCAAAGGGAAAGAGTGCAAAAGAGAATGTAGCTACTAGCAAGCTGCCCAACCCGGGTACGAAAAACAAGTTGCCTCATCATCGTGGATACACCGCCAGTTGATAAACAGCTGCCTCAGGACCTCGCAATACAGTAAAAAATTAGCATACGGAATTGTTGTCCTACAGATTTTGAAGGGGGCTTCATCATCATCATCATCCAAACTGTGAGTGTAGAAGATCTGTTGTAGTAGCCTCCACCCTAAAACCGGTCGGTGGGAATGGAAAAAAGGAATTCTCCTCCAACAGCAACCCAGAATAAATCAACAGACTCGCAGATTCGTACAACTTCTTGCTGCAACCGTTGGATGTCTCCTTTTACGCATAGTACATGTACAAGCTGTTTGCTGCTGCACAGGCGATTGAGTTCTCCGTAGGATGCCATGCAAGGTGCAGCAATTTTGTTGCAGAGTCGAACGAATTCCCATTTGCATCGACACCCGGGCTTTCCGCTCCTGTCAATGATACTTATATATTTGAGCAGGAAAATTAGGGGGTGCAGGGCGAGAGAGATGAATGAGGTACAAACCTCGTCTTACGACACGTGTTAAAGTGGTTAGGGATCTTGAGGGCCTTGAAGGGGTCTGAACTTGTCTCCTACAAGTGAAAGAACAGACTTAGTGAGATCCCATACTAAGCATACTTTATCATGGAGAATAGTAGTCAAATAGAAAAACTACCTCATTGGATTTTTGCTGGCTTCCAAAGTCGTTGCCTCAGTACTTCCAGGGGAGCAACCAAAAACACGGAACAGATTGCTGCCATTGCAAAGATAAGATACTTGAGATGCATTCACGATCATGAAGTTCCCTTCTTTTATCACATTAGAACACATACCTATAAGAACCAGTAGCTACGCGAGACCCATCTCCACTCAAACAACACTCGAATTTGTCGAAGATGGAATCATTTTCATACAAATCACACAGCTGCAAACAATAAATTTTATGATTATCAAAGATATCGTATATTACATTAAGCCTCCCTTTGAAAGAAATCTCACCTTGGGTCTTAAATATTCATGGACCTGGAAGGTTGAAACTGGGCCTGAATCCATATTGATATCCCACAACTAAGAGCAGAAAACATTGGAAAGGAAATCAGAAACAAGCATCCAACAAGGTAACTTACTATATGAGGACCTGGAAAGATCGACAAACTTGCACAGGCATATCGACAAGAACTGTAATGCTCACAACAATTTTTTATAACGAAACACAGTAATTTAAATCAAATTCATAGACATAATCAAAGGTAGAGACTTTAAGCTAGATACAGAGGGGGAAAAACGTGAGAGAGGTCATGCATCATAATTCCAACATGACGCGCTGTAGATGAGTTCATTTTCTACTCAAGAGTCTGTTTCAAACAAGTATCTGAAACTCTGATGCAATCATAAACCCACACCGGATCCATTGCCATGCTACTTTCATGTCTAAAGCTAACATTAACTTGAAGCCCAGGACTTTATTCAACACAAGTAACTTCTGTTATGATGTAACCTTTGAGTAACTTCCAACACGATCTTTGGAAAATGCTTACTAACAAGTCATTAACCAAATAAACTTTGATTATAGCTTCAAAAGCAAAGAAATCAACTGATAGTTTTTCCACTAGAGTTGAACCTACCACCTCTCTCAAATACCGAAATGGTGCTTCTAATGTCCTGGACAGAGTTCCAGGACAAAAACAAGCAAAACACAGTGACAAACAAGTGCTCTTTCTCCAGCGCAAGGTGTTACACATCAGCCTCTACAGAAGATTTATGGCAACCCTTTGAAGATGTGGATATTTGTATTTAATCACATTTAGAAACTTCAAAGTCAGACATTAACGTGTTCACTCTCTAAAGGGGCACAAACCTTTAGCGTCATGTAATCACGGCTAAGCAAATATCGTCCATCTTTTGCAAATTTAATATCAGAGATAGAAGCGATTATCTCTGTGAAAAATGACCTAGAGCCAGGCGCCTCCTGTTCCTCAAACCTGTGACAAAGGGAAACAACTAGTTAGACAGTCTACAGTTTCTGAGGCATATAACTGACTCGCTATTTCTTAGCAACCCACAACCAGGCGTAAACTACCAAATGTGCTTCTCTTAAATAATCCCTTCTTTTAACCAACTTAGTCAAACCAAAAGCAGAAAATGAAATGTATAACAAAACAGAGGTATCTATAAAGGACTAGACAAAAAGCAAGAGACCAGAACACATTCAACACTCACAATTTAGCATGAGAGTCACAGAGAGCTGATTGCCGCAAATCAATTAGTCTGATTGAGCCTTTCGAACTGCTATATGCTAACATATTACATTGATTGGGGTGGAATTCTGCCGAAGTTATCACCTCTGCACAAATAATGTCAGACATGTCAAGCAGGAGACCAAGGAAAGCTAAGAGCAGGCAAATAGGCAATAACTTTCTACACACACCATGCTCTCTATGTGCAATAACTTGTTATCATCTATTATATCACTTACCAGTTAGATCCTCCATATTTCCAGGTTTGACATCAACAATATTGAAACTTTGGTTGCTAATTTCCAAGTTCCAAAGATTTATTCGCAGATCGTCAGCTGATATAAAAGTCTCACCATCACTACAAAAAGTGGAGAAAAGATGTTATCTCTAGCTTCGTAAGCCAAACCAAATTAATAAATTAACGGAATGACAAGGGATGCTCTTGCATGCAAATAGTACAGAGACTTTTGATGTCATGTGTAAATACTAAATACGCAAGACAAAATTGAACCACATGCAACAGTTTCCCCTGTTGAAAGATTTTACGGAAGCAAATCATAACACGATTACCAGTGTAAAGGTGAAGGTGTAAAATAACAAGCAGAAAGTTGAATTTAATAGAAAAAAGAATGTGAAGAACTAAGGGGCAGCGACTGAGAAAATATAATATAAGTGGCATTTCATCACAAGCAAAACAAAAGTAATTAATCAAATAGATTCAAATACCAAAGATGCATAGTTACAAAACAGGTTAAAAAATAATGGACGAGTGAGCCTACCTATTGTTTGAAATGGAATTAATGTGATAATCATGAGCGTGAGCATAAACCCTACGACATCTTGCCACCAGACTCGTCTCAGCGCTCGTAACCTACATCATATGACAGTCAGGATCCAGATAGCATAAGCAGTTGAATATAATAGATTCTAATAAGATGGTAATTGTTTCCAAATTGGCACTTCCCAGCTATAGCAGACAGAAGCACTGGCAGAATATAAGACACAAACAAGTCAAGACAGAACGGCTATAATCTATCCAGATGTAGCTCAATGATATAGCTGCAAAGCAATCATAAGCAAACACCATAATCCGTAATCTCTTGAATTCATTTCTCTAAATAAGTTCCACCAAAAGTTCATTTTCCTGTTTAATTAATATCATGGCTAGGTCAAAAATCGAAAGAAAGAGTGTGCATGGAAGTATAAATATATGTGCAGAGAGCAATGAAGTGGTACAACTACCACCGGCAAACGCAGCGATGGGAAGCCTCCAGCTGGGATGGAAAAATCATTGCCAGAAGAGTTGTGCAACCTGTCAGTGCAACCTCCATTTGCAAGATATGGCTTAGGTGCACTTGAATTACTTGAACTAGCAACACTACCATTTCCTACAGCTTTTGAAGGATCCACATTCATCTCAGAGATTTTCTTAACCTTCTTTTCTTGGACCTGTTACCAGGCAGAAAAAGAAAAGAAATCAGTGGTTGCAAAACACATCCAAGCACCGCCTCACAAGATACAGTATCTGATTAACAATGGCATCACAACAGTAAACTATGTCAATGAGTTATTAAGCAGGGAAGTGACAAATTGTTCCTCTGTGGTAATACACAGCTCAAAGAAAATCCAGTATAGCTCATTCCCATTATACATAAGCTGTTTCAAGTATTTAAACAAATAATATCAAAATTGTGGCAAACTACAGAAAGTATTATACACAGTTAAGCAATAACTAGATGATGTGTCATATGGGACATAATTGCCAGCTAAAACCGTTGGCAACAGCTGAGGAGTTCCGATTCAGTGTATAACTGACACTCCAAATTTAGTCAGTTTATGAATAGATAAACATTAAAACTACTTCAATCATCTGGTAAAAGATACTTTCCAGTTACAACAAGATGATGGATATTCCGTACCTTCCAAAACTTGATTGTTTTATCATTTGTAGATAGAAGAAAAAGGGCACCGTTGGCTGTTTGGCACCATCTAATTTTGTTGATTTTCTCCTCTATTTCCAAACTCTTGAGATAGTCGAACTGGTAGAAAGGAAAAGACATATGAGCAACATCACCTGAAAGGAAAAACATGTTACAATAAACAGAACTTGCCCCAAGTATACCTCAGGTTCATGGCTCTGAAATTCTGTTTTGTAACGGAACTCAGGATGCCTGGTAATTGGATAATCCATCCTTTCCAAATCTCTCCTTGATCCACCATGCTACAGATCAATGATAACCATATTAGTAAGCATGACATATAACAAATAATTGATTGTATGATAACTTCCTATAAAATTTATAGTGAAGGAATAACACACATCCTTCGTATCTGTCCTCTCAAAAAGGACCACCCGTCCTCCGCGGTCCCCAGTTGCAAGATGATCTCCAGTTTTATCAAATTCAATGGCTGAAATAATGTCAACTGCAGACAACAAGAAAAGAATTAAGGGACATGCATCATTAGGACAACAGTAGTAAAATGATAATAGAGAATAAAATAAAATAATGCCAATTCAAACATCAAAAAGGGAAATTTCACACTCGATTAGGCACTACAAAAAAATACGCATCCGTAAAATTCTTTAAATTCCTTGGATAGATATCACCGATTTCAATGCACATATGAATACAGCAAATGCCACAACACCAAAACCAAACTACAGAATTCTAGCGCTCCGTAAAGTTTTATCCCCGTAGCTTGGAATTACATACTGTAGCACTGTATCTCCAGAAACATAATCTTCCAGACCAGCTTCAAAATGCATAGAACCAGAAATTCTATTGTGTGTTATGGTAGCTGGCAACTGATCCCAATCTTCACGCGTCCACTACCTAGAACTTTCCAGACCACTAGCAGTATTAGGTTTTATCAACTGTAGCCACCTTCGCACTTCATAGTGTTTCAGTTGGTTTGCAACAAGACCGGTAGAGGCAAACAATAATTGCTTTCCAGATCCCCGTGTGCAAACTATGAAGCCATCAGTTAAATGGCATAAACTAAAACTCAGTGGAGAGTCTCACCAACTAATAAAACCTTTTGGCTCAACAATGTGCTTATCAATTCCTCCACTAACTAGGGATGCCTTAATTATGTATTGTCAATCTTACAAGCCTCCTCGCCCCAAGAGAAGCAAATTGCCCAACACATGAAAGCACAGAAAACCAGCTGGTTACTTTCAAGTATAGGGCAGAAAGAACGAGTAGTGGGTCAGGCATTCTTCTATAGACCATCTTACTGTGTCGGATAATAATCCATGCAAAAGACCGTCTTATGAAACTGCATACAGTTCAAGTACTTTAATCTCTTGATTGCCAGATCAGTGTAACCAGACACTTCCAAACTACTTCAAACTATTGAATAATGATTGCAAAGTGGACTTCTATCTAAATCTAGAGCTTATGTGGTTGAAAAGCAAGAGGAAAAGGATCTCGAAAGGAATAACAGTCATATTCACCGTAGTAAATCAGGACAGAGACTCCAGATGCAAATTTCAGGACTGCTAATCCAATTCACTGCTGTGTCAACTATCAAGACCGAACCAAAGCAATACACACCTAAGCTCCAGCATCCACAGCTTTAACTGACCCAATCTACAACCAGAAAACCTTGCATGCACTTAAACAATGAAAGGGAGATGAAAGTAAAGGAAACCCAATAGCTCACTAACGTCACAAAGCTCACTTCCCACTGTCTACCCTCTCAATCTAATTAATCTCTAAACCAATCGCCATTATCGTCCAAAACGCAACAAAACTCCAGAACAAGATGACAAGCACACATTGACCCATAAACCTAGGACTACTTCCTCATCAACAGAGCACGATCCATTTCGGATCCAGAATCTAGAAAACAAGCCCTAACTTGCAAGATCCAAATAAAAAGCCTTTTCACCTTCTTGTAATTCCTCGCCGGCAGTGCGCTCGCCGAAGACCTGAGAGAATTTCCACTCCAGAGCCGGTGGTGGGCCCGCCGGAGTTGCTGCTGCGACCTCATCGCCACCGTTCATTTTGCTATCTCTCTCTATCTCTATATTCCCCCAATCTATATCTTCTCTATCGAATCTTCCTCCTTGTTAGGGGAAACAGAACCAAATGATGAAACAATTGAATCGAAGAAGGAGAACAACAACAACAAGCAAAGCTGAACCAAGGTAGATGAAGTCCACTCCAACAAAATCAAGACCTAATCACCAGAGATCGCATCTCTGGTTTCATTCCGCAAATCCAAGAAAACCCCATCAACCAATCTGCTTCCTCCTCTCTCTCTCCTCTTTTTTCCTTTTTCTCTTTTTCCGTCTTAATTATCAAATGACTACAATAGATTCTTCTAATTCAACCATTGAAACAGAGCTCCCTTCTTTCTCCTTTCTGTTGTAGTTTTTCTTCCCTTTTTTTCTTCTCCTATGTCTCTCTCAAACAGACCCTCCCAAAAAAATCATTTCACCCTCTCTATAAAGTATAAACGATCAGCGGAAGGTAGGAAAAATGAAAATTTGGTATAAGAAAATAAAATAATTTAAAAGTGAAAAGTTGGATCCTTTTTATCTTTCTCCCTCGGCGTTGCTACGGAGAAGATGAGAGAGAGGAGATTAGGAGAAATTGGGGATTTTGGTGGTCTGCTTCGTTTGGTCCTTGAAACTCTTACTGACTAACAAATCAGTCCTGACATGCCAAAATACTATGGTCCTACATGTGCGAGTTGGTTATGTCTACTTTGTCAATGTTTCCCACCAATTTGATTTATCCTTTTCTTATTGAAATTTCAGTGATTGTTTTGTTTGTATTCCACATATAATTTTATATTAAACTGAGTTTAAATTTTCTTTATAAATTTTTAGATAAATTGATATATATATATATAAAAGAATTAATTGAAGAACAAAATTGAAATAAGAAGCTAGATGATTGAGTTCTCAACAATCCAAATTCTTTAATTTTATTTGCATAACTAATAAAATGGATTGTCCTTTATTTTATTTAACTATATAAAAAGTTCCATTGCACCCTTTTTTTAGCAGGATTCATTTTTTAAACTCATTTCATTATTTCAGACAGAACATTTTTTCCCATAAAATTCTATATGGATATTTTAAAAAATAGAATTCTATGAAAGAAGAAATTATTAGATTTATTTTTCTTGATGACGTTTAGCATAATCCATCGCATCTGTATATGTGTCATTACCATATTTATCTAATTATTGTCATTTACGTTATTGTCATTAGTCGGTTAGGGTTAGATAGTTATATAAACCTTTGTTATATCATTCGAGCATATTATGCGAACAATAATATAAAGTTATTAGTTTTTAGGGTGTGCCTACGGTGACATGCACTTTCCGGTCAACCTCAGTTATGATTAGGTCGACCTCATTTAGGATACGGTCGACCTCATATAGGATCAGGTCGACCTCATTTAGGATTCGGTCGACCTCATATAGGATCAGGTCGACCTCATTGTTTCAGTGTAAAAACAGTTCATGGTGCCTACTTTGCAGATTCATATCAAACAATTGGCTAGATGAAAATTGAAGACTAATGACTTGTTTTGAAGCTGGAGTGTCCCTCTACATATTAAAGTGATTGAGAGCTCGATAGGAAGTACAGAAGACCATTTTTGAACCTCATCAAAAGGCTATGCCAAAACTGAGAAACTTCCTGGATATGGCTAAGTCTGGAAACGTGTTTGTGAAGCCTATTTTGGAGCTCAATTCGAGAAGCATGAATGCGAGTCGAGTCCAGGAGCCTCTACCACGTTACATTAGGTATGTTTTTATACAAATTTAAGTCATTGGATGAAAGATTGGATATCTGTAAGGCTTCAAACAAAAGGGTCGAAGTTGCTACAAAGGCTGTTTTCTGGCAGACTTCGAGGCTCCTAGACTCGACTCGCATTCATGCTTTTGTAGCAACTTCGACCCTTTTGTTTAAAGCCTTACAGATATCCAATCTTTCATCCAATGACTTGAATTTGTATAAAAACATACCTAATTTAACGTGGTAGAGGCTCCTGGACTCGACTCGCATTCATGCTTCTCAAATTGAGCTCCAAAGTAGGCTTCACAAACACGTTCCCAAACTTAGCCATTTTCAGGCAGTTTCCCAGTTTTGGCATAGCCTTTTGATCAGGTTCAAACATGGTCTTCTGGACTTTCTATTGAGCTCCCATGTACTTTAATGTGTAGAGGGACACTTCAGCTTCAAAACAAGCCATTAATCTCCAATTTCCATCTAGCCAATTGTAAGATATGAATCGCCAAAGTAGGCACCATGAAACTGTTTTACACTGAAACAACAATTAGGTCGACCTAATCCTATATGAGGTCGACCGAAAAGTGCATGTCACCGTAGCAAAGTCCTAGTTTTTATCTGTAGTTTAGCTTAGAAGTAGAAAAGCTATTTATCAAATTAGTATCAAAGCGGTTGATCCGCTATTTGAATACGATGGTTGACTTCTGGAACACCCGTTACCCTCAAACTCGCTTTCAATCGCCATAGATTTGGGTACCAGAACTCACGACATCCCTATCCTTCTAACGGCTATAGGGGAATTCACTACCACCATATAACAAGCGAGAGATCAAGGAGATGGTATGTATGTTTCACGTTCGTGTTTATAAGTCACCTACGACTCACAACTTTACCTCTAAACCAATCCTCAATTATACCGGCCCTAGACGGTCGATTTGGGGAATGGCCCTTAGATCCTCCTTGATTGTATCAATAGAAAAGGGTGTTAGCAATGCCTAACTCCAATGCACTAAAGAGAGGGCACTCCATGGGAGGCAACCCGTGTATGGTGTCTAACTTAAAGGAAATAAAGAAAAGTAGTGACGAGAGATAAGTCATCTTTGACTTCGGCACCATCATTAATAAAGATTTTCGACCCTAGATTTATGGGTCGTACCTAGTACCACACATCATGGAATGACGAGAATATGGTACCATAAACTACTTATGCAAGTAATGGTGATCTTAAAACCTCGTAATCTACAAAGTTGCGCTCAAATGAACGAGTGGTGCAGCCCTTCCGAGTGGAAGTAGCCCTATCGCAAAATCATACATGCCTATCTTAAATAGTGTTAGGCTGATACTTAGTAAGGGGGTATGGTCCTCATAGTGGACCTCCAATTCAAAATTATCATGGGCATTTGCTCCTGTCTTACAAAGACAATATCTTGAATGAGATTGTCAAAGGCATGCCCCATCATCCCATCAACAATTACCTTTCTCTCGAACTCTTTCATGGTGGCAACCAATCCTTGAGGAGTATAATGAAGTTGACGGGGGTTGACGTAGATGTCCTCATATATACCCACCGTGGGAAACGTGTACCATCACTTTCCCCAGCTTTGACCATGAATATGCACCTAGATCATCCCTATGTCGACCATTGCAAAACCTTTGTTTGCTTACTCTTTGCCATTGTAAGATTTTTGCCCGCACCACCCACCACGTTTTCTTCCTCTTCGTGTTTTATCTTCCTAATATCCTTAGTTCGGATACTTGTGAATACATGAGCGGATGCATGTGTTTGTTTGCATTTCGGCCCTTTGAGCTTCATATGTCCATTTGACATAAACGTGTGACAGTTTGCTCTTATGCTTCCTTTGTCATATCTTCAACGCATGCCTTTATCGACTTACGTTATGATGGAATTGGGAAGAATGGATGTGAAAGAGAATGGTTACTTGGTCGATTGAATGATTTTTTTATGTCTATGGATTGAGATTGGGTGACCTCTATTTATGCCATAGCACATAATGTCCATACGTTGGTGTCTAGCTTGACATTGGTTTCAATTTCCTAGTTTAAGCCCTGATCACTTGAATATGTGCAGGTTATTGGCAAAGGTTAGCATGTATCAACAACTATCCCATCCTACACCATGTTTAACCTAGAACGGCATTGACGTATAGTGGTAATCAAGGTCATATTATACTCGGGTCCCGGTACCCTAGCCTACTTCCCACCTAGTTGCTAAGTAGTTTATCGATATTGAGGGTTTGAGTGGAGGATATGAGGAAACACTAGTCTAAAGATCGATCAAAGCTAAAAGCAGGTACTTCGGGGAACTATCCCTCCCTCTAGCTTAGGGTCACTATGCATATCTAGATACTTAGGGTCATCGCATGTGGTGAGTGAGCTCTTTTCTGCATGCTTTCGTGGTTATCCACACGCCTCCGAGTACACCTCCCCTAAACCCATGTTCTAGTCAGCTCGATCTAGGTTATCATATATGGGGCATTAAGCTTATCGCTCATTTCAATGGACACTATCCACCTTTCACACCGAGGTTTCATCCCGGTTATCATCTAGGAAGGCTACCTATAGTAGGGGTTCGATCGCCTCGACCACTATAGGACCCCATTCACACATCTAACCTAAACTCGCCAGATGGCGCATACACGTCTAACCCTAAAACTCTGTACCCAGCGCGGTGGCATAAAGTAGGCTAAGAGGGAAGATTAGGGAAAATTACCCAAGCGTCATCATTTAGGAGAGAGTGGCATTAAAATCAACTAGACAAACAAATTCATTCATTCAAACCCTAAAATATCCATATATACATTATAAACCCTAAAACTAGGGGTTGGGGTTTAGAACAACCCCTAGTGCCTTAGAGGACTACTCCATAAAGGAGGGAAGAAGATACATGGTAGAAATAGAAGAAGACTTGGGGTTGAAGAAGATGCCTCCTTGCTCCTAGCTCCTCCTTCTCCTTCCTTCAGCTTCTCTCTCCTCTCTCTCTCTAGATACAGAAAGTTTCTCTCAAAATCAGCTCTCTTCAAAATGGGAAAGGGGTCTTGTATTTATAGGCATTATGCACACAGGAAAGTTCGCGGACTAAGGTAAGGAGATCGTGGGCTAGAACTTTGGTCTCTAGGCCGTGATCTCAAAACGCAGTCTTCGAGGCATTTGGAAAGGGGAAGATCAAGGGCTGACTTCGAGGTGGTGATCCACGAGTCGTGGTCGCGATCTTCCTTACGAAGAGAATGAACATTAGTCGTGATGCGACTGGGAAGACTCTCTGGTTCTCCAAGTCTCCTTCCATGCAAAGTTTGCGCCCCGGGCCTCCAAGAACGCGGTCCCAATCTATGACTTCTGGGACATGATCTTTAGCTAGTCGTCGCGGCTTGTGATCACAGCTATGATATTCGGCTTCTAAAACAAAACAACACAAGTGCCACTACAGTCATGAAAATGTAGAAGTTGCTATGCTTGGAGCCCTCAAATTTTAAAAATTTGGGCATACAACTAGGCAACAAGTATTCAAAATCACACCAAACATTCACACACACTAGTGATGGCAATTTCAACCCGCCCCGCGGGTATTACCCGCCCTGACCCGCGATGGGGCGGGTATTACCCGACCCGCAGTAGCGCGGGGCAGGGCCCCGCCCCGCCTCGTTTTAGACTCATTTTATCTCAATTTCTTACAATATCTATACATATTTCTCCTATTTTGACTTTTCTTCAACTAGTTAGAGTCGATCTTTCAACTTGTTAGGCTCAATTATCCATTCTATTATCAATATTTTTCATTCTTAAAGTGTTTTTCCTACGTTTTATTGTAAAA